GGATTACTACCAGAATTCTTGAAGTATGGAAATGAGGAACTTCATAGGGTATTATATAACATGATCCTGTTCATTTTTATACAATAGGAAACACTAGTGCAGTATGCAGTCTCTTGCACAAAACGGAAGACCAATTGGAATGTGCAACTATCAGGGTAACTATCAGATCTCACTTTTATCACATGCATACAAAATTCATTCCAACATCCTCTCCAACCGACTATCCCCAATCGCCAAGCTAGAGATTGGATGATATCAGACTGGTTTCCGGAAGGGCAGATTGACCATCGACTAAGTATACACACTAAGGATGATTTTGGAAAGAGGTCATGAGTATAATCTGCCAACTCACCACTTATTAATTGGTAGAAACCATTTTAGGCATTTAAGAATCTTTCAGTTGGTCAAATTGCAACTTTCTTATGTGTTTAAAGATTACTTCTATTGTTGCAAAAATAAATAATAAATAAATGATAGAAAGAAAATAAATAGTTTGATTCAAATTTTAAAACAATTGGTAGAGGGGAGACAAGAGACAGGAGTCAATTTAATGAGACAGGTATTAATTTAATTTTTTAAAATATTTTTCCAAAGCTTATCATTTCATAAATCCATTGAATATTTATTATGTAATGAATTTAACAATTGATAAATACTTTAAACCTGGAAATAATATTTATTTTAGAGAGCAAAGTTTCAAATTTATTGGATTAAATTTTAAAAAGAGTTATCAGTAGTTGTTGCAATTTTTATAAATTTCAATATATGATTTTTTTTCCTGATGGCATTACAGACCATATAGATTTTTTGCCGCCTTAACTAGTCTGCTCCATCTCTGCCTGTCTTGGACTATTTCTTTTGATTTATCTACACGCAGCTCTATGACATCTTTGTTGATTCTATCTATCCATCTGCTTTTTGGTCTTCTACGTGGTCTTTTGCCTTCTACTTAGGCATTCATTGTTACGTAGAGGCTTCCGGATGGATTGCTATGAGCTACATGCCCCACCTATCTAAACCTCCGTGCTTTCATATCATGGGATATTGATTGAACAGTTTCTGTGAGCAGTTCTTTATTGATCTTTCTTCTCCATGTGTTATTACTCTGATCCCAGATCAGTCCAGTTATAGTATGGAGTATTTTTCTCTCATATCTTTCAACATTTTTTTCTAGGAACTTTTTATTAGAACTAGCTTTATCATAGTACACCCTTCATTTGAGATTTTTCGGGATTTCAACACCTTTGAAAGGAAGAAGAAAGCTCTGTTTGTGCTAGTTATACACTGGTCTATTTCTGCCCATTGGTCATTCATTGAGGTTATTGTGGATCAAAGGTATTTGAATTTTTCTACTCTCGGGAATGATTTTCCTTCTACGCAGATCCTGTTATTGGGGTGGAATCTTCGCTTATATATTTTGTTTTGTCTTCATTTAATTGTAGGCCGATCTGCTGTGCCTCTCTTATCAGAGTCTTAGCGAGTTTCTCAATGTCCTCTTGATTACTTCCAAGGACAGCTATATAATCTGTGTATCCAAGGATTTTATGATTCATTCTGACATGGACTCCTCATTTTCCAGTAATGTTGTTCTTATTACCTTCTTCAGGGCTAAGCTGAATAACATTGGTGATAGTTCAATATATAACATGATACAATTTAAATTTTCTTAAATGATTTTTATCCTGAAAAAATAATTTACTTTAAAAAAAATCGATTACAGAAATAACCTTACAGCCCTAAGGGACAGAATATACTTTTACTTTTTCTTAAACATATTGGTCAGTTGTTAGAGAAGTTGAGTTTTGTAAATATTAAAGCTAGTTGTAGTGGGTGGATGACCAAATAAAACTCTATACATTTATCTATCTCTATCTATACATTGAAATGTATGAAACATTAGTAAGTTATTTATTTTCAGTATGTTTACATGCACAGATGCAAGGAGCTTTTTGCATGTTGATATATACAGATGCATGAGACGAAACTTTCAAGGAACCTTATTGCTTAGTGGAAGGCACTGGATTAATACACCAAGTTCCAATATTTTTAGAGTTTCATAAATTATAATAAAATATCTATTCAGTATTTTGAATTCAAATTGTTTCAAAACACTCACATGATTCTGCTGAGTAATTTGAATCATCAAACTAAAGTTTGGTCAAAAATTCATAACATACCATCAATCAGGCAGACTAATGACATTTGGTGCAATAATTTATTAGTTTTGGAGTTCAAATTATAGTCGGAAATTACTCCTTAATTTATGCTGGAGTACCTAGAGGGATTTTCGCCAGGGAAGGGGTAGGCCAAGTAATGTCACCAAATATGTTGGATCGTTTGGAGGACTGGGAACCAATATCACCTCGATTGATTGTGGCAGATTTTAAGATGCCCATTGTAAGAGTTCCATAGTCCAGGTGTATGCACCGACTGAAGATACCAGTGTTATGAAAATGGAGGCATTCTACTCGGATTTACAAAATATTGTAGATAAAGCTAAGGAAAAAGGCAGATCTGTAATCCTGAGTGGGGATTTTAATGCCAGAACTGGAAATGATGTTAGATCAGGGTGTGACGTTCTAGGGCTGCATGGAGGTGAAAATGTAAAAAATAACAATGAACAGTGGCTGGTAAACTTTTTTGTTGATAATGACCTCCTCATAGGGAATTCATTCTACCCACACAAAAGAATTCATAAACTTACTTTCTCGTGCTTGGAGCAAAAATAGTATAATTGACTATTTTATATATAACCGGTGAGAGGAGCAGAGATAGGCAGTGACCACCTTCTACTTGTGCCCGATAGAAATATAATTATAGATAGTAAATGAAAAGCGAAGGTAATTAAGACCCTGAATATTAGAGCCTTGGATGATCCAGAAAAAAGGTTCCTCTACACGGAGAATTTAGAAAATAAATTAAGAGCAACAACTTTCGACGGAGATGTAGAAGGTATCTGGAACAAATTAAAGTCATGTATTATGGAGGTTGTAAATGCTGTATGTGGGAAGAGGAAGGTATCTGGTAAGGGAAAGCGGACTGAATGGTGAACCAAGGACCTTCAACAAATAGTTGCTCGGAAAAAGCTTGCCTGGAAAGCATACCTAAGAAAAACAAGCCCATCAGAAATGTAAAGGATAGCGATGGATCCCTGCTAACCGACAAGGAACAGATCCTGAACAGATGGAAACAACATTTTCAGGAACAATTCTCTGAAAATCCAGGAATACGTCACAACCAAGAATGAGAGCACTCTACTCTAGAAAGCCTAGAGGTAATAGAAGAAGAAGAAATAGAAGACGCAATCCAGACTCTAAAAGCAGGAAAAGCACCCGGAAGGGATGGTATCACCCCATAATGTTTGAAATATGGTGGAAATGAACTCCTTATGTCCTTCAAAAGCTCTTCCAGGAAGTATATGATAGAAAGAAAATTCCCAAGGATTGGGAATATAGCATAATCCTTCCAATTCATAAAAAAGGCAGTTCAATGGACTGTAATAACTTTAGACCCATCAGTCTGCTCTCTGTGGTCTATAAATTATATACCTCTATATTAGAAAGGAGGCTCAGGCGGATTGTGGAGGGACAGCTTGAAGGTGAACAGGCTGGTTTCCGTCCTGGCCGGCAGACTCAGGGCCATATCTTTGTTCTTAGAAAAACCTGTACCTGGCATTTCTTGATCTAAGAGCAGCGTTTGACTCAGTTCCTAGGAAAGAAATTTGGAACGCTATAGTTCCCAAGGGCTGGAGATTTGATTGAGGCTGTGAAATCAACCAACCAGAGAGCCACTGGAGTGGTAAGGATAAATGGCACAGAATCAGAACCTTTCCCAATTGCGAGAGGAGTCAGACAGGGAGATAGTTCAAGCCCCCTCCTGTTTATAAACTTTATGGACGAGATCCATAAAATCTGCAAGCGTTGGACTGCATGGACTACAATTGGAAACTGGCATATGAGAACTGTCCTCGTACAGAGCTTTTTAGATGCGGATGACATTGTGCTCATCGCCTATTCCAAGATGAAACTTCAGCAAGCAGTTGGTAGGATGGGAAGAAGAGCTGCTGAGGAAAGGTATGCAAATAAATGCCTCCAAAAGTAAAGTGATGATTATGGCGAGAGAAGATGAGGAAGACGTCCAATTGGTTTGCAACGGAGAAATTCTTGAGGTAGTAAAGGAGTATACCTACTTAAGTACCATAATTACTACCTTTGGTTAAATAGATGCTGAGATTTCGAATAGAATATCTAAGGCGAATCAAATATATCACCAGATCGCTAGCAGTATCCTCAGTTGCCGTGAAGTAGATAAAAATACCAAGATGCATGTCTATAAGTCTGTATACCTTCCTATTCTCATATACGGCAGAGAAGCTGGACAAACATTATAGTCGCATAACAGCAGCGGAAATGCGGTTCCTACGTAGATCGGTGGACAAAACTAGGAGGGATCACATTAGAAATGAAACTATCAGAGAACAGCTGGAAGTGCCTGAACTCAAAACCACCTTGGAGAACATGCAATTAAGGTGGTTTGGACATGCCGCATGAACGAGTACATGGATCCTATAAAGATATTAGAGCCCCGACCCACAGGGAAGAGAGCACAAGGGCGTTCCAGAGTCTCATATCAGGAGTTCATGGAAAGGATCAGAGGTAGAAGAGACAAATCCTTCGACCAAATGAAGCGGTTAAGCAGAGACCGGGAAGAGTGGCTGCGCTGGATAGAGGCTCCTCGACGCTAGAAATGGCATTGTGAGGAAGAAGAAGAAGAGAGCTCAAATTATTCAAAACACTCAGGGTATTTAATCAAATAATATCAGCCATCAAACTGGAAAATCGGTTGAGCTGCTCAATCAAAAAATCATTGATACCTATTAATGGTCAAGCTTCATACACTATGAAGTTCCTCCTAGTGGTTTTTCTATCATGTCTAGTAAAAAGTTATAATAACTTGTAAATAAATAAATAAAAAATGTAATAATGGATGCCATTAATTACCTGCAGAGGAATCCCACCTAAGAAAAGAGTTATATAGTCGTCAATATATGTCCCAATATGCCCTGTTTCGATTGTTCCCATAAAATCTGATTCTCTATTAACATCAACATGTTCTGAATATGCAACAAATGGAGCTGCCAAAACCTATCAAAACGTTAGAATAACAATTACATAACAAAATATTATACCAACAGTTAATTTAAGTATATTACATTTATTACTCTAATGTAAGCTTTAACTAATTGAAAAACATATTAAAAATAATTTAGTGTTCAATTATTTGAAAGCAATAATGATTCTCTCTATAAAAATAAATTATAAAATTTATTTTTTTAAATGAAACAGAAAATATAAATATACTCGATCATGTTAACAAAATAAACAATTGAGTGGCTTCATATCAAAGATGGACATCTGTCATTTTAAAAAAAAAAAAAAGATTGAAGAAAAATCCAATTTTTGTTTTACAGGTTCAACTCAAACTCTTTCTCATGATTTTATTTAAGAATGTTCAAGTTGAATCATGAAAATAAATCATTTGAGTTGGTTTAAATTGAAGCTATTTTTCAAAAATTGGTTTTTTCTCAACTTTATAAAAATGACAGATGTCTGTCTTTGATAAGAAGCCACTAAATTGATCAGGGTCTTCTAGAAAAATATACTACACTATATTGAATACATAATAAAAATTTTAAAACAATAAGTTTCTAACCAGTCCAACAACAATAAATCCAAGCTGAGCAATATCTGTATAAGATACACTCACAAGGCCTCCGATTATAGTGTAAAGACCAGCAAAAAATGCACTTATCACGATGGCCCAGATTGGATCAATGTGGAGAATCACTTCCAATGTTGTCCCTATAAATATTCAAATGAAGTTATAAATATATATATATATTAATAATTAAAAAATATATATATTGAAAAGAAACAATTGAAGCATTGAGAATGAAAAAGAGGCAAAAATGAAATATTACAAGTGGAATGAAAAATATTGAAGGAAGTTTATCGACTGTTCAACATATCATGGGTGATAAATATTCAGGACGTAGTCATTATAAAGGTTTTATTGGTGCCGAAGTTTCAACCCAAACATATGGGTCATCATCAGGGCTGAAAAATTGTTCAATACATTCAGAGATATAATATTATATCAGATAATGGTTAATAATAACAAAAAAGTGATTGATGATCCATGAAATAGGCAAATGAAATATGTAAAAGGTTATATAAACTAAAAATAATGTATGTAATGAATTTATAAAAAATGTAATATTCACCCTTGTTAACCGTGTTTCGAGCACTGAAGGTATTCAAATACTGACACATTGGAAGCTAAGTAAAAGGGTCGGTGTAGGATTTTCCAGATGTTTTTAACTTAGCAAAATGTAGGTAAACATAGTCAAAGTGGAGGGAGGAGTTACATTTCTGTTCATAGAATGCAAATAATTTGTTAACTAAAATATTCAAGATGTATAGAAGATTTGCGTTGTTTCTTATAATTAAAAAATTGTGACTATTGGCTGGTAATGAAATAACAATAAATAAGAGATGACTTTCAATATAAACATAAAATAGTTTGAGTGCAGGTATACAATAGTTAGCCAATTAATGTTTACAATAATAGACCATTGTAATGAATTGAATTTTTTATAAATTCATTATAAACATTATTTTTAGTTTATATAATTTTTTACATTTTTTATATATTATCAATCACTTTTTTGTTATTATTAACCATTATCTGTCATATAATATTATATCTCTGAATGTATTAAACAATTTTTCAACCCTGGTGATGATGACCCACATGTTTGGATTAAAATGTCGGCACCAATAAAAAATTTATAATGACTGCGTCCTGAATATTTATCACCCATGGAATGAAAAATATTTAAGAGGTATATTAAATAATGAACAAAATATTCATTTAAAAAAAAAAAATGAAAAATGTATACTTACATTTTCATTAGATTAGTACCTTTTATTGGAAGAAAAAAAATGGTTTTCAGAAATGTTGGCATTTACCTCCTTTTCAACATATATTATATTATAAAAAATATATCCATAAAAGGTGGGTTAGAAATACAATATATTAATTAAAAGCATGGATAAATAAATATGGTTCTTACACATGGTAAATAAGAGAAACCATATTAATCTTATAATTGTGAAGCTCCTTTTTAATATATATAATGAAAATTAATCCATGTTACCATTATAGATAATTTCAAAGTTATTGGAAACCCATAACCAAATTATCTTACGTTATCATTGAAAATTAAAAAGTAGTTCTGTTCTACTTATCTATAAACATGAAAAGTATATACACATTTTTACAGCTGAGTCTTCCTAGCCAAGCATAGTTCACTATAGAAGAGGGACATTTCTTGGGACTCTTCCAAGAAAGTACAGACATAGAGAAACTGCTAAGTAATTATTAGAGTCAATTAGTTGCTGTGTATATTGCTCAACTAGATCTGAAAAGATTGAAGCCATCAAATATTTCTTTTTTAGACAAGGCCACTGAACACAATCTATATCATAAAATATTAGAACAATTAGCAAATATGAGATGGAATAAAAAATATAATAGGTATGAAGCCATCCAATAGGGAGATGTCAAGTTGTAAAAGGACGTGGCTTTTTCTCGATAAATTACTTCATTGATTTGTTTTCTTCTTTACATTTTATTTATTGCTTGTAACATTTATGTTCTATTACCAGTTTTTTATGATCCAAATTTATATAGATAAATTTATTGCTAGTAAAACGTATGTTCTGTCAAAACTCTTTTCTTGATTATCTGTTCTTAACCAATAAAGTTTTTGTTTTACTAATAAGTTTCTCATACACTATTATATACTTAAAAGGAACTAGGAAATTATATTCCATCTCTCGTTATACCTAGGGAGTTAAGGACAGAAGCAGCCCAAAAAAATTCAGCCATTACAACAGGGAAAACAAGCAAAGCTCCATAATTCATGCCATACAATTCTTGGAAAAGGTCAATCAGTGTTACATACTCTCTGTCACGCATAGGTTTGATAAAAAATGCCGCACCTAAAATAGAAAACGTATATAATAATCATATTATAAGGAATTCTATGAAGTTAAAAATATATACTAAATTCAATTAATTAAATTAGCTATTTATGGGGCAAATTAAGTATAATTGAGATTTATTATCTAATGCAGTGGACGATGAGTGGAAAATCTAGCTTCTTCATTTATTATTATAATTATCACCATTGACTAATGGTGGAGCATAGGCCATTTACAAATGTGTTTCACTCCGCTCTATTTGCTTCTGGCCAAGTATTGCCAGCCTGGTTCAGGTCTTTTTGTACAGATTTCCACCATGTCTTCTAGGCCTTTCTCTTCTTCTTGTTCCTTTTGGATTGCATTGCAAAACTTCTTTCTGGATGGCACTATCTGTTTTCCTCAAAGCGGAATATTCACTATAATAATATAATATTCACTATCCGTTTCCATTTCTTCCGAGGTGGATAGGAAGCTGCTCTGTGATACTCTAGAGGGATTTCGTTAGAGGTCCTCTTCTCTTCTTCTGAAGGGGTCGGGTAACATTTTTAGCCACCTTCCACATTTCACTGCCGTAGAGTAGGACCAATTTCACATTGGTGTTAGACAGCCTTATTATTTTTTCTTTTAGACAGTTTTTGTTCTTCCATATTGAATCCCTCATGTTGAAATTTCCCATGTGCGTTTTTGATTCAGCTTTAACATCTTCCAATGAGCCCACTTCTTTTGCGATTACCATGCCCAAGTAGATGAATGATTCCACTCGCTCTACAGTATTTTCCCTCAGAACAAGTGGATTCCGACATCACTCATTTAATCTCATTTTCTTGGTTTTATTGACTTTGATCTGCCGTTCAACTCTATTGGCAATTAGCAATTGCTCTTAATGCATCTAGCTTACCCTGTAGATCACTGAACCACTGTGTAAGAAGACATAAAGCGTCGGCGTAGTCGAAATCTTCAAGCCTATAATTTAGACCCCACTGGATTCCATGTATTCGACCCCCAAGCTTAGATCTCATGATGCTGTCGATCACAACGATGAAGATAGTTGGACAAATCACACATCCATCTCAATCCTAGTAGAGTTTGACAGAAGTCTCTCATGGATGACTCGACATTCAAAACCATCATAGGAACTCCTAACAAGATATATCTTTTTAGAGATGCCATAACTTTCGAGGTTTCTCCACATAATGTCCTGGTTTAATGAACCGAATGCTTTTTCAAATTCGATAATTGCCAGTTATAGTGGGCTTTGCCATTCAAAACTCTGCTCTAGGATAATTCTCCATGTGTTTATTAGATCAATGCAACTCTCTGAAACCTGCCTGCTCATTTCTTAATAGAGGCTTCAGGCGAAATATCCTCAAAAGCATTTTTAATCCTTTTGAGGATATTTCTATTCATAATTATACTATTTATGGGGCAATTTAAGTGTAATTGAGATTTATTATCTAATGCAGTGAACAGTACGTGGTAAATCCATCTTCTTCTTAAGATCTTTTTTTTCTAGAACATTCCGCAGAAGATTCAAGGCTAAAAGTTTGAAATTCGACTTCAATTTTTAAAGAGAAAATTTTCCTTTTGTTAAATTCCATTAGAAAAAAAAAAGTTCAAACATGTACAATAGTTATTTATTTGAATAGTAAAAAGTGAACTGAAAGGACTAAAGATAGAACTTCTATAGTTGAAATATAAAAAAAAAAAAAAAAACTAAATTATTATCTGTAAAAAAAATACTAAGACCTATTGGTAAAAAGACATTGACTTTAGCTATTTATATGAAAAATAAAGTAAAAACCATAAATGTGACTGGCAGAAAAGTCTTACAGTAGAATCTATGTTAATAAGAAGCTATTCAAAATCATGTCATTACCTGGGAATGTAAAAAATATTTAAATGACCCAAAGCTGAAAATGGTTATGTATAGCTTTAATGGAGTGTGAAAAGGAATACAATTCTATTCAGTTTATGACTAATTTGATACTTACATAGTTAATATCAAATCGATGAGACAATATTTCAATTATTTTATCATAATCATGTTTATTCATTGGAATAAATTTTGACAACAGTAAATAAGTAATATGATTTAAAAAAAAAATTTTTATTATCAAAACTATGTAGTTCTTGAGACGAGACTCACCACTCATGCTTATAAAGTCATGACTGTTCGATCTCCATTGCTCCAGTTAACTTAAATCGTCTTTTTTTTTTTTCAAATCATCAAAGTTAAAAGAAATATTAAAAATAGTTTCATTATCAGCAAAAGTGTCTGATTCTCAACCTTATTGTATTCGTGGAAGACAGACAGGACATCAAACCTCTAACAAACACCTAAACCATTCTTATTACCATACATTTAAAATATTCATTCTTAAAGTGGTGAGTAAACTTCTGAGAAGTGTCTGTCAATCCATGGATCTCAAACTGACAGACTCTTTATCCTTCCTAAAAAATTTTCTTAACAAAAAAATAGGGTGTGGTAAGCTGAGATATGAACAGGGATCATTGAGCAAAAGGAGTGCTCATTACAAAATTTTAAATTATGTTTAGCAATTATAGATGTTTGCATAAATTTTCATTTTTTTTACTTTAGAAGAAGATTCATAAGACTAATTAATCGGAATACTATTTTATTTAACAAATCAAAAATAGGGCCAAAAATATAGAAGTTTCGTGAGATATTTTAACTGTAATTAAAAGCAAAAATACTTTATAAGGAATATGATGGGTGATAAATATTCAGAATGCAATCATTATTAAGTTTTTATTGATGCCAACATTTCAATCGAAACATGCGCTGATGACCCATATTTTTGGGTTGAAATGTCGACACTGATAAAAACTTTACGATGACTTCGCTTTCTGAACACCTCCCGTACACCTTCTTCTCAGGTGATCCGTGGTCTTCTTTTGTCCAATATTGTCTCATACATTATCCTGGCCATTCTTTCCATGCTCATCCTAAGGAGGTGCCCGAATCATTTAAGTTTATTCTCTTCTAGAGTGGTTTCTACTGACTGTACCTTGAGGTTTGATTTTATTGTTGTGTTGCAGATCCAATCTCTTCTGATTTTTCCCTCAATCTTTTTTAGGTATTTCATCTTCATTGTTTGGATCTGCACCTTATGGTTTGAGGTAAGGGCCCATGATTCGGAGGAGTATGATAGAATGATGGGAAGGAACATTGACTTTTTTTTTGGGTCCTCTCCTTCCTCGCTTTTCAAGCTATACGGGTTTTGCTGGGCCAGGAGATGAGGGCAAAGATTAATGGTAGAGTTAAAAAACTCCTCCAGCAACGGGAGGCAAACTCGTGACTATTTTTAACAATTTATCTAATATATCAGGTTGCCGGACAACGGCAGTGCTTTGCACTATTAATGCATTCTTTCTTTATATCTATCTTGAAGATAAATAATTAATTATTAACATAAATATTACAATGTTCTCATATCCATCTTTATCTTGTATTTACTTAGTCCCGATGAAGGCTTAAACTTCGGGCCGAAATGTCGGCTAAAATAAAAATAAATGTAATTTATTTATTTTTACTTTTTCACTTGTGACTGCACACTTCAACCCTCTTCTATATTTCTATTCAACTTTTCACAACAGATATTAAAGGATGGGAATATGAATAAGGGACACGAAGCATAAGCAACACGGATTGGTTTGTTGACATCTATCATATTGTTTTTGCCTCATGTCTACAAAACGAAATTAATGCTTCAGTTTTATTACAGTAGCTTTCAAGCGCCACAAAACATGTGAGCGGGTCCAATGGGATCCGGTTCATATGATGGAATTGGAATTTCCTGCTAAGTTAGTTCTAATGGGATTTCTAATTACTATTTTAGCGCCGTCACCAAATTCCATTTTGGTCTCTGCTTGTCGGAATTGAAGTGACTTCTTTCGAATACTCTACTTCAGCATTGTTAGTTTCATTCGGACTAACGTCTCTTCCTTTCAGCAGCTCCTTGAAGTATTCCTTTCATCTTTTCATTATATCTTCTTCCTGCCATAAAATCTTTCCTTCTTTATCCTTAATTTCTTTGAGGTAATTCGGTTTTTACTTTTATGACTTGGTAGAAGATCCTCTGGTTCTATTTTGTATTTTTCTCCATTTCGTGACCAAAATCTGCCCATGATTTTTGTTTGGCTTAAAGAACTTTTATCTTGTCCTCATTTGTTCTTTTCTTTTATCTTTCATAGGCTGCAGGTGTTCTATAGCTAAGAAAGTCCCTCCAGACTTTCTTCTTTTCTTAAACCTTCTTCTTCACTTCATCGGTTCACAACGGACTTCTTTTAAACCCAGATCCTGTCCTTTCTCAGCATATACCAGTCTAGCAGTATCAAGGATAATTTTCTTGAATGATGATCAGCTCTGCTCAATGTCATCACTATCCCATGGGTGATTAGAATCTTGTTCCATCCTGTTTATTTCTTCAAGGAGGTTATGGGACATTTTTTCTTCTTTTAGCCTGTAGAACTTTATTATCTTCTTCATACCTTCTTATGCTTTTTCTGAGGAGTTTGTTCATTCCACAGTTCATCCAGCATTAGGAGGTAGTGATCGCTTCCAAGCACATATCCTCTTTTGACTCTTTCATGCACAACTTCACCAATCTCTTCTTTTCTTATCAGAAAATAATCTATTATAGATCATTCACTTTGCCCTGGCTCCTCACTGGTGAATCTATGGATTTCTCTATACGGAAAGAGAGTGCTCGCAATTATTAATACATTTCCTGCACAAAAACTGAGAATTCTTTCTAAATTAGATTTCTAAATTCTAGCGTTGATAATGTCTTCGCCGAAATTCCCAACGAATCCATCCCATTTTTCCTTCTCATAGTCTACCCTGCCATTTAAATCTCCATAAATTATTGAGATGCCTTCATAACATCAACTTCCTTTTGCAGGTCATTAAAGAACTTTTCTTTTTCATCCTGCTTAGCATTATCATTGGGACCATATGCTATTATAAGTGATGTATTTTCTCATCTTCTAGGATATCCAGAACTACTAGTCTATCATTCACATATTTTATCCTTCTGACAGACAAGTATAAGTCGTTGTGGTATAGAAATACTACTCCACTGGCAACTCTCTCATTTTCACTGACAACCAAGAACAGAAGAATGTAGTCTTGTACTTTGATTTCACCCTTGCCTTTCTTCTTTGTTTCCGTAATCACAAGGATATCGACTTTTACCTTCTTTATTTATTAGTAAATTCTTTAATTATAAAACTTAAATGTAAAGTATCACTTGAAAATAGCTTACTTATTTCTACTTATAAGAGGAAGGAGACCATCTCAGACACTACCCAGTGTCTTTTATCTTCGCCAAAAAGTAGTTACGAATTATTCAAAGAAATGGATAGTGTATATGAAACTATGGAAACTCAGAAAACATTTATTACTTTAAAAGATTTCACTTGAAAAAATAAACCTTATAAGTCTGATTTTAATCTGCTATTGTATCAATATTGCAGGCTATAAAAATTTTGGTTATATTTCTGATAAAATTGGCGATCTAAACAAGGATTGCCAGGTTTTCGAAGTTCCGAAATAGGACAGCATTAAAGCAGCTGATGATGGTTATGGGATTTTTTTCAGGCTACAATTTTATAATTTACTGTAACTATAAAGAAAAATGATATGTATTTTTACTAAAAAAATTAATATATAGTGTATGGATTCTAATAACGCAGCCATATGTTATTATTCATAAAGCACAAACAATCACATAACATCATTAACAAATTTAAAACTAATTATCCATAAATTAACAGATTAGCCTGTATTGTTTTCGGACTTATATTTACAGTTACTCTTCACACATTTCAACATGAGTATATTGTTTATCATAGCTTCAAAACATGAAATTCAAATTTCTTGAGAAATAATAATTTTGTGTTACCATAATTAGATCTAATGAAATGTAAGACTCTTGTTAACTATTATAAGCCAATATATATGAATTGTAAGATTACCCTACCAAGAGTATGGCATTTGGCAACCCTGATCTAAATATAACTTCAAAATTATATTAAAACTGAAAAGAAAAGTCAGAAAAGAGCATAACATAGGTGGGGAGCCTTTTTATCATTAGAGACTGCATTAAGGTTTGGCAACGATAATGGAGACCACAATATTTTTTTATACTTTACTGTTGCATTTTTATTTATAAGTAAATACACACACACACACAGCTATGTACATTTATCCAACTTAATTTTCAAATTTTGATAAACTAGATAATTAAACATAAATTAATTTTAGTGCAAGATTAATGAAGACACCTCAGAAATTGACAGGGGCCACAGCTAGTTCATGGAGGCCACACACAGCCTCAGGTTCCCCATCTGTGCTGTATAAAAAGATATAAATAAAAAAAGCATACCTATTAAAAATGCCATACTGTAGCCAACTGGTACTTGAACATTTATTAGACCTCCTTCATAAATTCTTTCTGATACCCCAGTAATATAGCCACCTCCAACCCAAGTACCTAAATCGATTAATCATCATAATTTTATCGAATTCACTCTTCTTAAGCAAAATTAATAATTACTTAATTTAAAGATGGAGCCCACACTCATTTAATCATTATAATTTTATTTCTTTACGTAACAATATCCAAAATATATTTCTTCTTAACTTAGAAATTATAAATGTATTTGTAATAGAAGCAGAATAAGAAATTGATTTATATGCCATGAAAATTAAAAGTGGAGAAATACACATTGGTAAAACCAAAAAAAAAAAAATCATTAAAATTTTACATTAATTATAATTAGATACAGATCAATCGGTGGGTCCTATCCTTAAGTTTAATAATTTTTTTTTACCAACAAGCGTAATAGTTCCAACAATAACACCAAGACTTTTTCCAGCATTCATCATTTCTAGTTCCGAATGACCTTCCATTTGGCAAGAAGACCATATTCCAAGTGCAAAAACACCAGCATAACAAATGACAATTATAATAACACCCTCCCAAAAGATTGTCATAGCTAAATTTTTTAAATAAAAAAATTCTTTCAAGGTTATAGTTGCTGTTATAATTATTTAAAAAAAATGATCAAAAATCAGATGTTATAAACTCAAAAAATAAAATAAACTAAAGTACTATAAATTATACAATAAAAAATGAGGAAAGGAAACACAATTTAAGTAATAGTAATGTATATTAAAATTTTAACAATCGATAAAATTTCTATTTACAAATCTTAGATTGAAGATAATTAAATTTTTAATTTCCCTAAATTATTAAATTGAACAGAATCAAACACTTTAGTAATCATCCCAGTTGCCACTGTAAAATTATTCTCTCTAATGGTAAAACACTGGCCAGGGGACATAATAGTTCTTTTTAGAAGAATTAAAATCACTGTAGCATGTTCACCAGGCATAACCATAGGAACATCTGGCATCAAATCAATCCTACAAGCCAAGTTCCAGGTATCAGAAAACATTTGTTGAATATATTTTGAAGTGATTGGTTTTGAACGCCCTCCTTCTGCTCTACTAAGGAAGTACACAGTAGCTTCATATTTGTTACTTAGTGTTTGACTCCTAGCTTCACACAAAAGCATACCTTTAGCAACTGAATCATTTTTTATACCTCTTAACAAAATTCCAACATTTTCTCCTGCATTTGCACTAGGAACAGATTTTTTGAAAACTTGGATGTCCGAAACAGTTGTACTTAATTTGACATCAAAACCTAACAAATCCGCTTCACAATTTTTCTTTACTATACCACGTTTAAGAGTGCCAACAACAACTGTGCCTCTTCCAGGAACTGTAAAAGAATTATCGATTGGTAATAAAAAGGGAGAGGTATAGTCTCGTGATGGATTAGGAATGTAACTGTCAATTGCATCTAATAGTCTCCAAATTGAATCTTCACCAATAGGACTAGTATCTCCATTTAAAGCTTTGGTAGCTGATCCAAAAACGACAGGAGCTCCACCATCAAATCCAAAATCAGACAACATTTCTCTCATTTCCAATTCTACAAGTTCCCAGACATCATTATCTACCAAATCACATTTGTTTATGTACAAAACTATTTTCTTAACTCCCACCTGTCTTGCTAAAAGAAGATGCTCCCTTGTTTGTGGCATGGGACCTTCAGAAGCAGCAACGACTAGAATGGCTCCATCCATCTGAGATGCGCCAGAAATCATATTTTTAATATAATCAGCATGACCTGGACAATCAGTGTGGGCATAATGGCGAAGCTTTGAACTATATCCAATATGAGAGGCATTTATGGTGATACCTCGTGCCTTTTCTTCTGGAGCTCTATCTATTTCATCATAAGAAATGAATTTTGACAGGCCAGCTTTAGAAGTTATCTTTGTAATAGCAGCAGTAAGGGTCGTCTTTCCATGATCTACATGCCCAATTGTACCAATGTTCACATGTACTTTTTCATAACTAGTAGAAAATTTTACAACTTTTTTCGCATTGACTATGAAAACCCTCTTACAGTAAAACACTTCTTGGCCGAGATGTCTCAATATATTCATCTTTAAGATACATTTAAATGACTACCAACGTAGAAGGTTATATATAATTAAGGAGGTTATAGAGGTTTCCAAAATCCATTTAATGGTACATAGATTTAATTCTAAGGTTAATCATGTTTGAATTGATCGTAAAAATCTATAAACTCTATTTATACATAGGGTAACACACCGTATTAATCCTTCATACTTTCGAATGAATCCCTACATATATATATTTTTATTTTGTAATTTTGAATATGGCGCTATTTTTAGAACAGCAGCGCTACGAAGAAAGTCCCCCTTGTGTTTGGAGTGTACTAAAATCCTTCAGTTGTTGAGCGAAGGGGCTGATAGTGGTACTCGGTTGTCGGGCCTTATTTTGTTAGATCTTGAGCTACGAATTTGAGACTTAATTTCATCATTTCGTGATGATTTCAGGTTTTATCACTAGACTGAATAATTCGGCATATAGTCAGTTATTTGTGTCATATTCTTTATTTCTCAGTGATTTTTTTCGTCTATTTGAGTAAAAGTGTACATGGTACATCATAATGGTGATGCTGACAGAAGAAATGGTTATAGCTAGGACGAAATCCTCCAACCTGGAAACAGTGACTAAATTTAACTGTTGGTAAGTAAATCTCTCAAAGATTTAAGTTGTCATCTTCTCATCTTAAAGACTGTCTTGTTTCCAGTCTCTTAAAATGAGACCTGATTTTTATAATTTTAATGAAATTCAATTTTAGGGGAAGCCAGTTGTCAGATGTTAGTATATTAAAGAAGATGAAGAATGTCACAGTCCTGTCATTAAGGTATTATTTCACTGTTTTCAATTTTGATTATTTTATGTATAATCTAAGTCAATATTCAACAAAAACATATTTTGCTCATTGTTTGTTAATCAATTAATTGTGTTGAGGTTTTATTAACTAAAGTTTTGTATAAACAATTTGGAACTGCTTGCTATGTTACAATCCTAAGGTTTTTTGTTTGGATTAGGTATATTGATTATTATAGATACACACTGATATCTATAAATATGAATAATAAGTATAAATGTTGTGTGGTTTACATTAATCCTATTTTTTTACTTTGAACTGTTAGTTATATATTTAACTTATCAGAACATGATCATGAATCTGTGTTATTAATTATTGTTTAAAATTGTTTGGGTTAGTTAAAAATTATCCATTCAAAGTTATGGTTTCTCAAATATTTATAAATATAAGTATTCAACTATTTTGTTCCTTTTGTATTTTAAGTTATTAGTCTTTAAGAAACATCAGAATACCAACTAAGAAATATTGTACTCAGAAGGGTTGAAGCTTTTCATTAAAAAATCTAAATCTATTTATCATCCGTTATCAGTAGGTTTAGATTTGTCTACATATGACACTCATTTTGTTATTAGCAGATTCAAGAAGAGAGGGTTCTTTTCTGCCGAAGCCTCGAAAATATAAATGTTTTTTTATTCATTCATAATTTAAGGTCCTATACTTGTTTCTATGGGTGATATGTGCCAAATATTTTATATCCTCTTCCAAAGTCATTACCCATATACTTAAGATATTAAATGTACAAATGGAAAAAAAAATATATATATATATATATAAATATAAAGATATCTCTAAAAACATTATTGTTCCTATGATTACTGTTATCATGAAAAAAAGTATTGTTAGCGCCAAAGATGAAATCCTGAATCCAGTACTGTATTTTTTGTTGATATATTTCAGTTGTTTAAAAAATTAAAAGCATCAGAAATATTCGAAGCTATTACTTTTTTTTCTGTTGACATTACAGGTCATGTAGATCTTTTACTGTTTTAACAAGCCTGCTCCATCTCTACATGTCTTGGGCTATTTCTTTCCATTTATCTGCACACAGCTCTATTGGATCTTTGTTGGTCTGTCTATCTGCTTTTTGGCCTTCCAGGTGCTCTTTTGCCATCTATTGGGGCTTTTAGTTAAAGTTAATTAATTTTCTTTTGTATACTTTGATTATATCATTAATATTTAGTTACAGAATTAAATAAATATGTCTATTAATACTGTCCCAGGTAATTCCACTTGTTATGATTTTTGTAAAAAATAGTGCAAAGTGTGGTGAAAGGTTCTAATTTGTATGTGTTCTAATGTATATGTGTATATATACTTACATTTAGACATACATATCTGCCTAGAGGTAACTAAGTAGCTTTACAGGTTGAGCCTGATTGGTTTAAATGCTGATTGCAACACTGATTTGTTTTTTGGCAGAACATTAGTAGTCTGTGGTATAGAACCCTTTTTATGAAATTGTAAACATGAAACTTCTCAAATAAAATTCATCTAATCCTAACCTACTATCTATTTTATTAGGGCATAACGTTGGCATAATTAGGGCATTTTCAATCTGGAGGTTGGTAAACTTTGTCCATTTAATTAGGTACTAAAAACTCGTTAATACTCATTTACATTCGACATGCATCGTAAGATAATTTGATCACAAAATCGATTAAAAAGGTGGTCTGCACAAATATAGGACAGTTTGGCCTGCATAACCTCGTTATTTTGACAAATGGGGGGTATAGGTCACGCCAAACGGCTCAATATTTTTGAAGGCCAACTTTTTTTTATGCTACTTTATGCTCTAGTTATCTTACGATTCAAGTGGAAAGGAAATGGATATTTACAAGTTTTTAGTACCTAATTTAATAGATAAAGTTTGCCGATCCAGTTTGAAAACGACCCAATTCTCAGAATTTTCGTAAATAAAATATTTGTAGGTTGCGATGAGATAAAGCTATTCACGAAGTTTTAGCTCGATGGTAATAATTTGATAAAAAAGGGTCTGTACCCACGGGCTATAGTCAGTTTGTCAGGATGGGACATTTGGTTAGATAAACATTTAACAATTAAAAAAGATGAGTTGATGTCATTAATCAGTTTGACTTTTAAATTTATTGAGATTCATTTATATTGTAATAATATTTTTACTTTCACTTACCTATATTACTCTGTAATATACAGGGTGTTTCACGGTTAAGTGGCCAAACTGCAAAAATGAACGAAAGGCCTCAAAACAAGAAAAAAATTCCTCTCAAGTTATGTCCGCAAACGCTTTGTTTAGGAGATATTCTCAACTAAAGATTTTCATCGTTATGAATTATTTACGTTTTATTAAGTAAATAAAACTTATTTATCTGTTCCAAATACTTTATGAATTAAACGTTAACATTAAATTCATATTAATTGTTTTTCAAAGTGATTTCCTTGAGCATTAAGACAGGCTCGACATCTTTCTTCAACAGCTGCAGTGGCAGAACGGCACTGGATGTGTATTATTATTTCACAAAATTCAATTATCCTTCTTCGTAAGGAATTAAGGTCATTGTTCGATCTTGCATAGACTTCTTGTTTAATGTAACCCAAACAAAAAAATCCAATGGTCTGGATAGGTCTGGAGAGCGTGCAGATCAACCACTGGTCCTGCATGTCCAATCCATTGATTGGGATATGGAATATAGATTGAGCAAATCCGTTTTGAGGTCAATAACCTTAATTCCTTACGAAGAAGGATATTCGAATCTTGTGAAACAATAACAAAATCCAGTGGCGTTCTGCCACTGCTGCTGTTGAAGAAAGATGCCGAGCCTGTCTTAATGCCCAAGGAAATCACTTCGAACAATATTTAATATGAATGTTAATGTTTAAATTTAATTAACAAAGTAGTTAGAACAAATAAATAGGTTTTATTTATTTCATATAACGTAAATAATTCATAAAAACGAAAATCATTAGGTGTGAATATCTCCTAAACAAAGCGTTTGCGGACACACTTTCAAAGAAATTTTTTTTCTTGTTTTGAGGTCCTTAGTTCATTTTTAAAGTTTGGCCACTTAACTCTGAAACACATTGATTGACACATTAATAATATAGTAAAGAAAAGTAACAGCGATCGTGAAAATTTTCGAATCTTAGTTCTCAACGGAAATACGCGTTTTGAGGTCTCCTGAAGCCAAGTAACCAAGTCTCGCAAAATGGTCTGTGTGTGTGTATGTGAACAGTCTAGCTGAAAAACGAAATGTCGTACGAAACTGATATTACGTATTTAAGATAAGTATATACCTGGGATGTTAAAGCAACTTTTCCCTTAAAATCGTCTAACTGGAAGTGCCACTTTATGTCAACGGTCAATTTTCTCAAAAAACGACTTCACCATTTTGATTAAACTCTGTGTATCATTGTATAATTAAGTGGTTCTCTCTCTCTCTCACTCGCTGCATGTTAATTCCATTTAGTGAAGTCTGGAAAATCCAATTTTAAAAAAAAATTCATTTTCTCTTTTTGAGGTTATTTTTTTTTCCATAGTTGAGGTGTTCTGGGTTTATCAGTTTTTACTAAATTGTGTCTACTACAGTCCATAAACGAAAGGGACTTGTCTTCAGTGTTCAAAGTGCTTGGCTAGAAGGTTCTACTTTTTAATCTGGAGATCTATTTGAGTAGGAAAGCCTTTACGGAATAAGTTGACCTATTATTTCAAGCTAATTTTGAGGCAGAGTTTTATGAAATTAGTGGCTTATCGCTTATAGTCTGTGGGCCAGACCCCCCTATTGTGAACCCTGCCCTCCCCTCCCCCGGCCACATCCTTATAAATTGCATATCGTTTTATTCCTTGTAACCATTTATTTAAAAAAAGCCAACATTCCCACAAAAAAAAGCGAACGCACTGCCCCAAAATGGCGTCCAAACATGGCGGATTGACGACATTGACTTTAGTTAGTTTTTTGGTTACTGAGAATCAGCATTTGGCTTAATTTCGTCATAGTTGGTCTTTTATTAAAGCACGATAGTCAGAGAATAATAAAACATGAAAAAATATTATAACCTTAATATAAAATATTAAATTGGCTTAGGCAATAAAAAACACCAGTAAAAAATATTTTTTAAAACAAAAATTTTCAAGTTGAAAATCAAGCGTCGTTTGTAATTAAACGGCCAACAATAATGCAAAATTTGCTGAAATAAAACATCTGGAGAATATATATCTCTTTCTAAAACACTGATTACTTTTTAAAACATTTGAAGCAGTTCTGTAGAAAATGCACTTATGCGGCAGAAAAGCGGTACTGGTATAGGTTCCTTCAGATCTCTACCACACCATTCAGTACTCATAAATGGCTTAGTTATAGTGATATAATAACGTTTTCGGTACTTTATATTGATTGTATTAACGAACAAATATTAATGCAATAATTTAATTGTAAAAAAAAAAATTTTAATTTAAAATCCATGCTCAAGAGAAGCTTCCATTATTCAATCGAAAACATTATAAATAATTCTCTCACACAGCTGCAGTAAAAAAATTGCGTTTACCTATTATAATCAAACTATAAAGGAAGTTAGCAGATTTACGCAGCTGGGTCTTATTTCCTCACGTTAAATAGAAGCCAAATTTGATAAGAGAAAAAAATTTGAACACAGCAGTTCAAAAGATACATAATTAAAAAAAAAAAATCTGTTTGAACGATTAAAAATATATGTACATATTTTAACAGCTCTCCAGCCACCAATTAGTATTATAAATGTTCGAAAAGAGCCACCAATTAGTATTATAAATGTTAGAAAAGAGCCATTTTATATTCGTTCATTAATTAGTAAAAATGAAGTCATTCAAATGATCGAAATCAAATTTAAAATTTCAAAGACATGATAGCCAGTGACAGTTAAGCAAACAGATTTTTTTTTTATTGAATTTAGTTTGTAATTGTATCTAATTTTAACAATTCAATTCCTTCTCATATCTTCCTCTCTCCGTAAACTTGGAAATA